GGAGGAAGACAAGGAAGGAAGGAAGTAAGGAAGGAAGGAAGGAAAGAAGAAAGACCAGCAGTTGGTGTAATGGCTATGTCACTGGACTCCTATGTAGTCAACCATGGTTTGAGTCCCGGACCCAGTGGCTTAAAACTCACGCCAAGCACATGCGCGTGCGTGCCCAAGATCCCGAGAGGAAAATGGAGGAGAAGGATTGTGGCGTGACCATCTCCCTGGGGGGTGATTTCTTGCCTTCTGTCTTTCTGTCTCTCTCTGTCTTTCTGGCGAGCACATGCGCCCTATAGCAAAAAATCCTCTTTAAAAAAAAAAAAAAAAGGAAAGAGGAAAGAAAGGAAAGAAGGAAAGAGGGAGGGAGGGAGAAAGGAAGGAAGGAAAGAGAAAAGAAAAAAGGAAGAAAGAAAGGCCAAAGTTCAGTGAATAAATGTTCAGGTCTTTTTTATTGTATCAAAGTTAATTTTATATCTGTTCCTGCTTTTCTTTCTCTAATTTTTCTCATTATTAGTGCTGACTAATATAAAAGAAAATTTCCTTTCAAAGCTCATAACTTTTTATTTTCCTTTAGCACTTGAAAAGCTCAGGCCAGGCGGTGGCGTGGTGACCCACTGCTGACTGCAGTTTTGAGTCCCAGAGTGCCCTGCTTGCAAAGCACATGGGCACATGTACACTGCTGCTGGATTCCTGAGAAGGGACTGTGAGGTGGCTGTCCTCCTGGGGGTGTCCAGAGAGCCCACACACCCAATACCAAAATTCAAAACAAAGCCCAAAAAACCCAGCTTCTGCGTTTCTTCTTCCTAAGTACTCCAAGGGTCATTTTATTTACTAAATACTGATTATGCATGCAGCGTTGAGATCATTGGTTAATATCCATGATCTTTCTCGATTTAATGCTTCTTACAACGACTAAGTAAGTTAGGTAAGCTCTCACTGAGAATTAAGGGTTGAGTTAAGTGCTGGGGATTGAAGGGCTGGAATCATTGTCTAACCCCTGGTGTGTCCCACTGGGAAGCTCAAGTCCTTGAGGCCACGCTGTGTGTCTCCCAGTTCACAGAGACGTCTATGTGTGCTCCGTGGTACATGTTCCATACAACAGGCGTGTCTCCGTCGCAGTAATAGCACTCTCGCTCGTCCCTTCCTCATGTTCGACAACAGCACCTTGCTGTCCAAGTCTCCACTTGGCTCTCCTTATCGTTTACTCTCTCCCTGTCTCTTTCCTCTCCACTTGTGCTAGGAAGTTGGCGTGCCTGGACTCTGGAAGAATGATCGCATTTGTCTAATAAACACACGGTCCCTGTCCCCCTTCACTTTAACACGTATCAGAGCTCACTGGCAAGTGGTTTGCGAAGAGACGCTCTGCCGTAGGTTTTCTTTTATTTTTTTTCTTCCTTTATTTAAAAATTTTTTTAATACATTCAATCACATTATTTAGCTTACAAAGTGAACATTTCAATATTTGAACATTTCTTTCCAGTCCAGTTGATCAAAATATCTTCAACCGATAACACCACGCGTCCCCATCCCACCAATGCTCTGCCTCTGTATCCCTCCTCCAATGTCCTTCCCAAGCCCCACTCCACACACACCACATCTGGCATTCACACCCACCTCTGTGTTTGCACCTTTAGTCAATCAGTTTCAGTCATAGCGTGTTGGTGCAGGGAAAGGGAATTGAGCTTGGTCTGCTTCTACGGCCATGAATGACTCCAGTCGGTGGCACCCAGCAAGGAAGCTGGCAGGTGGAAAGAGCGCCATCTACTGAAATCGTTCATGGGACGTGAGTCTTTGGGGACAAAATACTCCAGAGTGGGACAGCACCAACAGCTCAATTGAGAAAACAAAGTCACCTCGTCCAGGGGGTTCTGGAAACGGATGTATAACTAGGTGCCCCCATCCCCTGACCAGTCTTTGGAAGGTTCTGGCTAGTGCGATCTGGGATGGGGCTGGAGCAGTGACACTTTTCGAAAGATTCACAAGCAGATGTAAACTTCTGCTTGAAGATCACTGGGCTAGTTTAACGTGTGAAATGAAGTAAAGCATTTAATGCGTATGCCTGTGATTAATGGCTAATAGGCACACACTATGATCATCCATAGCGGTATCTTTCTATGACGTGGGGGTCCTCATACCTTTGCAAAGATTCAGCCAGCTGCCTCTGACTCCCTTGTGGTATTTCAGGTTGATTAATCCTTCTGAATTCTCTTGTGGCAGGTATAAGAAATCTTGGAGGAAGAGATAAATAATTAGCAGCTGAAGAATGACTCTGATTATCAGCAGTGAAAGAGAAAGACCAGGGGCTGCATAAGTGGCAGCTCTGACTTCCTGAAGCTGAGAGGAGGAAGGCACCGGAAGCTACCTGGATCCAATTTGTGAAGAGTGTTTTGGTGCTTTGTACTCATGGGAAAGCTCATTGGTTGAGTTTTGTTAATTTTTCTAAAATTTCAAATCCATTTCTGCACTTCTGGCAGCCAGTAATCATGGCCATGCAGTCACTTAGAGGTGATTACACAGACCACAGGAGGGTTTTCCAGTGGGACCTTCCCTGGAAGAAAGGACGATTGGGACCAGCAGTTAGTGTAATGGCTATGCCGCTGGACTCCCATGTAGTCGACCGCGGTTCGAGTCCCGGACCCAGTGGCTTAAACTCACACCGGGCGCGTGTGCGTGCGTGCCCAAGATCCCAAGAGGACAATGGAGGAGAGGGGATTGCGGCATGGCCATCCCCCCTGGGGAGTGATTTCTCGCTTTCTGTCTCTCTGTCTCTCTTTGTCTGTCTGGTGAGCACATGCGCCCTATAGCAAAAAATAAAGAAAGAAAGGACGATTGAGGCTCCCGAGCTCAGTCATCCCCTTTCCTACAGATGGTCTGCATGAAGAAGAAAGAGAAATAAAAAAGGAAGGAAGGTAGCCATTATCTGATATGCAGTTTTCTTCAATCTTGTCAAGTGTGTTTTCAAACTTTCTGGAGATGTGTGAGGAAAGCAGGAGAGATCTGACTCAACGGCAGCTCAGAGCCCGTTAAAGCCCCCCAGAGACCAAGGGGTTTTCTGCGAAGCTCTGCTACCAACCTCTGCTTGTTTTCTTGCTTTCTGTCTTAGAGTGTCATGTTATTCCCATTTGGCAGAAAACCCCTGCATCCGCCAGTCATCAGGCATGCCTATAAAGTGAACTTGGGTCGATGGCAGACAGTTCTGCATTTCACGATGACTTTTATCCCCAAGAGAATAAATGACATCCAAGCAGTGACCACGAAACTGGGGTTCCTGACAGACAGACTGGGATAGAAGGTGAAAAAAAGCACCCATACAGAAATATACCTTAAATTAGAACACCAAAAGCAAATGCCAGGGTGGCCCCCATGTGCTAGTGCTTAAGAGAGCCAGATTCCATGTGGCCTGCCACAAGGTTCCATGACCATTCTCCATGGCGGGCGATCTGTCCCTCTCCCTCCTTGCCTTTCTGTGTCTCTCTGGAAGTGCGCACACCCTCTGGGAGAGGAAAAACAGAAAACAAATAAAAAATCACAAAGGAGTATTTCACAGGGGTCCCTAACTTTCATTTCTCTGAAATCTTATAATTAGTGGGCTTTTTTAGACCGAGGGGGAGAGCATGGAAGTGAGAGCTACTAGAGAAGGGGACATTGAGCATGGTCATGGGGCAGCTAATCCAGCTATGATGATAGATTGTAATGAAGGGAAAAAATTTATAGCACCCTAGTGTGCGGTAGAAGTTAGTGTTCATCCTAAATGAGAGGTAGAATTTAGTTTATCCCCTAAGAACATCTTTAAGGAAAAGAATAGTTTAATAAAAGAAAATTATTGGACATGAAAACATAGATTCAAGTTTTTATTTTTAAAAATTTGATTTAAAGGACCAGGGGATGGTGTAATGACTACATCGCTGAACTCCCATGTAGTCGATCGCAGTTTGAGTCCCAGACCTGGTGGTTTAAACTCACGCTGGGTGCATGTGCATGCCTGCCCAAGATCTCGAGAGGAGAATGGAGGAGAAGGGATTATGGTGTGGCCATCCCCCCTGGGGGGTGATTTCTTGCTTTCTGTCTCTCTGTCTCTCTGTCTGTCTTTGTCTTTCTGTTGAGTGCATGCGCCCTATAGCAAAAACTCTCAAAAAATTTGTATTTAATATCTGAAATGTATTAAAACGATTCCCTGGGCCAGCCCATGGCCTGGGGGGCGTTAAGGCGCAAGATCGCACTTGACCAACTGTGTGGTTCAAATCCCGGGCTTGAAAGCATGCCAGACATGTGTGCATGTATGCCTTTTCTCTCGCTCGCTCGCTCTCTTTTTATTTTTTTTCCCGAGGTTTTGGGCATGCACACACACAGTGCATTTCTCAAATCTCTGGGACCGGGACTCAAACCGTGCAGTTGACCATGTGGGATCCAGCTCCCTTGACCACCATACCACAGACTGGCCCCAAAGTTATAGATATTTCTGGTGAAACCCCAACTCACATCGAAACTTCATATACACAATCTGAAATGGGTGAAACATTTTCCATGTAGTCGATCGCAGTTTGAGTCCCAGACCTGGTGGTTTAAACTCACGCTGGGTGCATGTGCATGCCTGCCCAAGATCTCGAGAGGAGAATGGAGGAGAAGGGATTATGGTGTGGCCATCCCCCCTGGGGGGTGATTTCTTGCTTTCTGTCTCTCTGTCTCTCTGTCTGTCTTTGTCTTTCTGTTGAGTGCATGCGCCCTATAGCAAAAACTCTCAAAAAATTTGTATTTAATATCTGAAATGTATTAAAACGATTCCCTGGGCCAGCCCATGGCCTGGGGGGCGTTAAGGCGCAAGATCGCACTTGACCAACTGTGTGGTTCAAATCCCGGGCTTGAAAGCATGCCAGACATGTGTGCATGTATGCCTTTTCTCTCGCTCGCTCGCTCTCTTTTTATTTTTTTTCCCGAGGTTTTGGGCATGCACACACACAGTGCATTTCTCAAATCTCTGGGACCGGGACTCAAACCGTGCAGTTGACCATGTGGGATCCAGCTCCCTTGACCACCATACCACAGACTGGCCCCAAAGTTATAGATATTTCTGGTGAAACCCCAACTCACATCGAAACTTCATATACACAATCTGAAATGGGTGAAACATTTTCCTTTTAACGATGTCATAAAAGCCAAGTTTCATACAAGTCTGGCAAATGGCAATGCCCTCCAACAGAGCTGCTTATCGCGCAGTGACACTGGCTCACATACTCTATAGCATTTGAAAAAACACAAAAGAATTCTTGGAAGTAGTAATGATTTTAATTGGTAGCATACATTTTTACTTCTGAATTTTTAGAGACTTCAAGGATGACAGATGAAGTTGTGGATTTGAGTAGTAATTCATACCATTTAAAAGCAGAGCTTTGGAGTGACAAGAGAAATAGTTGTGGACCCCGGTTTTCGGTGGAGAGAGACCTCTCGAGTTGCTTTTCCTGGGAGAGGTGTGTCGCGATGTGGAGGGAAGGAGAGCCACCTGAAGAGTCTGAGATGAACAGAAACGAGCCGAGTCAGGGCACTTTCTCAGAAATGTTTTCAAGAGGACTTTAGAAATGAATGGTCCTTAGTCTCATTTCCCATCATATAATGGCTGTTCAAGTCTGAATTTCTGATTTCTCATAGTTCCTGGAGATGTGTTGACAGACAGCCGGGTCATTTGCATTTCAGTTTCCAAGGTCCTGAGAGACAGCTGGATCATGCACGGCCACCACCAGCGGTGCTGGGGGTCTGCTTGGCCTTGGGAAGGCCTCAAGGCAGGAGGGTCGGAAGTGACGGCATTCCACATGCTGTTTTCTCATCCTTATGTCATGCTTAAAGTGAAGTTGATGTGGCGATGATGGCGTGCAGAATTCTCACTTCAACATACGTCCTGTTCATTCACTGAGACTCTCATCTGGGGAGACAAGTGAGTAAGATGTGCCCCCTGCCCTCACAGAGCTTGTGTGTAAATGGAAACAAATACATGAGTAGCCGTTGGAAAGTAGCATATGTTGTGTGAAGAACAGGGAGCCCCGGGGTGCAGTAGCGGGGATGCTTAGCAGGCTCTGGGCAAACTTCCTGTGGAAATAACCTTTGTGCTCAGATGGTAAGGATGCGTAGGAATTGTTCAGGCCCAGTAGGGAGTCAGGGAAGAGTGCGTGGTGGAGTTAAAGGACGGTGTATGTAACAGGCGTGAGAGAGCATGATGTGTGCGAAGAAATGAAGTTAATTTCAAAAGGATTTTATGAAGAGTCAAGAGGAAAGATTTAGACCACCAAAATGCGGCAGTTAGCAGCATTTTGGACTGCGAGGGTCCCTGCAGGTCGGGTCTGGCTGGTGGCCTGACGGCACTGGGGAATCCGTGATGACTGTAGAAGAGAAAAACACAATGAGATGCAGACTTTGGACATATCTCTAGTTGCAGTGAGGAGAATGAATCTAGGGAACACAAAAGCAGAGGCTGGGATACCCATGAGGGCACTGCAAGAGTCACGTAGGTAAGAACGAGAGTGGGTGAAATAGAGACCGGACAGTAGGGAAGACAGGAATGGATAGATCCTGGGGTTTCACAGAGGAGGAAGAAATTGAGCCCAATGGCTACCTGGGTACAGAGCAAGGAGAGTCAGGGTCCAGGGTGGTACCCAGCTTTCCCACCTGGCCAAGGAGACATTGGTGGTGACATTCACTGCAGATGGGAAGGACAGGAAGAGACGAGGACCTGGTAATAAGTGTTTGGGGATGTGGAAAGAAAAAATCAGTGATGAACAAGTCAAGTTTGAGGCCCAGAGGGACGTGGGGCTAAAGACGTGCAGTGGGTCGCTGATATCTGAGGCAGAAATGCAATGATCAGATCCAGAGTGGGGATATACATTGTGAGTTATGAGCACAAAGATGACAGTGGCGGAAGATGTCACTACCCACCAAGTGAGTAAGTGGAACTCTGGAAGAGAAATACAGCCACCACCTTGATGCCCGAGATGAAGGAGAGAAGCCCCCCCAGTAGGGAGCCAGAGCAGGTGGTATGACACCCAAGCTGGTGGACTACTATCACTTTACTTACAGAAATACCTGAGACTGGGCGACTTATAAAGAGCGGAGGTTTATTCTTTTTTATTTTTTTAATTGCTAGAGGTCACATGTACTCACAAGAGAGAGACAGAGATGGGAGAGGGAAAAAGTCCCGCCTCTGCACCATGGGGTCTGGTCACACTGCCGTACACTCTCTTCCATTTCTGCATCCTGTCAGGATTTGGGACACATATGCACACAAATCAGCACGTTTTCCAAGCTGCTGGGTTCAGGCTTCTAACTGTGCAGTCAGCCATGAGAGATCTGGCTCTCTTAGCTACCAGGACATGGGCTGGCCAAAATAGAGGTTTATTTGACTCACAATTCCAGTGACTGGAAAGTCCAAAGGCATGAGGCTGACTGGTACTAGACCAGCTGCATCAAAATGTGGCCGACAAAAGCAGGCATGTGCCGAAGGTGCGGTCTGGAGTCTGTGTGGGTTTCTTTTTGTTGTTTGATCTCATTCCCTCTGTTTATAAACTCACCAAAACTCAACCACAGCAGCTTTGCCCTGACCATCCAGTCATGACTCTCTCCTCAGAGACCCGCTATCATCAGACAAAGTTTCCACCCTCTTCATCCTTTATGATGGTTCAACATGTGAGCTTGGGGGGGGG